GTGCTCTCAATCTCGTTCCTCTCCGGATGTCAAACGTCCTCGAGTACAGTATCCAACGAACGTGATGACAGCTTTGGTATGAGTTTATGCTGGTAATTGCTGAGGCAATCATTAACAGTATGCCACCAACGGCAAAGTAATAATTGCTAGCAACTGGTCATGATTCCTTCTTCTATTGAGCAGCGCACAATCATGTTAAGGACCACAAACTACTGTAGCGCTAATGGTCATGACTTTGATTATTTCAGCCCAATTATTGCTTGCCACCTTTACAGAGTGTGATCATTTTTTAGCTAGACTGGGGCAGCCCTTAGTATTATTCAAGAGTTCCTAGTTTGGTACCACTAAATCATAGATTCCGCGATTACCCGAGAGGTGGCATTCTGAGTATAAGGAACGCTGATCCTTACATACACAGGGCACGCCTCTTTCGCCAATCGGTACTCTGCAGTGAGGGCGCTAAAGGCTGATAATCCCCAGGAACCACTCCTACACCTTAAAGGCAGTTGGCACGATGGTTTCCTACTTAGCCTAAAATGCTAGTAGGGCGCTGTATAGTGGGGAAATGGCGAAAGAACGGAGTGAAACGGTCAAAATCCTGCGAAGAAAAAGCCTCCGTTCTCAGTGACTTGTAAATCGATTTCGGACGAGTTTCCCGTAGGCATCTTGCCAATCACCGCTACCGAAGATACGGCTGCATATGTGTACCCATATATGCATGCAGCATCACGGCCGCTTCATACCAATCCCTTCGCTTCATAATTTGCTTAGCAAATGAATGAATACGAGCGTCAGGAACGGTCGTCCATTTGTGGGCGGGCGGGCGTGGCGGGCGTTTGGGACGTAAAGTTGTGGCTTGATAGGGCCCTTATAAGGGCACCTTCCTCGGGGAAACCGCTATGCAGCGCCTGCCCAGGGTCGCGGAATTCTATCCTGCCAGGAGTATTGATCCTAGTCGTCTTGGGGGATTTATCGTGCCAACTGCCTTTAAAGTACCAAGGAACGTTCGAATGCTGTCTATGCTGCGGTCGATTCATCTCCCTTCCTATGCTTGTCCACTGAGGAAGTTCTTGATCCTTATTTGAAGCAATTCGGAGGATTCCTTTTGATCTCTCCACATATTAAGTTACCTAGCGCATTCAAAATGATAACTGAACTCGAGCACCCGTAAAACGCGGTCGCGGAATTGCCATTAGGTCCATGTTCGGAGCTTTAGTATGCTAGTCGAAATGTGTTTTCTACGTATACCGTAGTCTTTTTTATGAGTATTGTGAAATTGGTGGGAGGAACTGAACAGATCGGGTAGATGGTAAGGCAAGACAATGGTAATATGCCGGACTGTGGGCGTGGCGAGTGGCGCCGTCTCTCACGGACAAGTTGTCCTGCCCAGCCGTTTGATTTGGAGTGTTGAAGGAATGTGGAAATTTGATTCCGGCCGTTATGGAGTTTTTCTCCGAATGGACTCATACGAATTTCGCTCGAGAATTTGCCGTGCGATGCGCCGCGCGCAACGACGCGACAAATTACGATTGTCTTGTCCGCCTCCCGGAAACCATTACCACTTCCATCATACAATTGTTTTAGGATATGGATCCTCGTGTGCTACATGCACTAGCACAAGCACAACTTCGCCTGAGCCATGAAACAGAGAGGGTGTTCATGCAAGGCGTTATGCCGTTAACTATTCCTGGAACACTTCCAGCACCAACATTCGACTAGCAGTCGATGCAGTGGATCTCGTTCAGCTAAATTAACTTTATTTATCACAGCTCCATGAAATAATTTATTACATTACATTATTACGTTTATTACATTATGATGAAATGGACCCTCATATGTGCCTGTCAAAGCAAGTGCGTTAGCGCTCCAGAAGTGCTATGTACTTGTAAGTACCTATAGAACTCAATCTTGGTGATAGTAGCTACTACGTGCAGTATCCTATTGAGGTTTTTTTATTTGCACTTGTATGTATTACTACTAAATTATTAAGATGCCTAATTCCTTGATTCGCCTTGCATTTTTTTCCTCGGTATAATTTCGTCAGTTTTGCATTTGACGTATTTTCTGTACAGAAGAAAGTACTCACTAACTCATATACTGTATACGGGTGACGAATCCTTTCTTCAATCTAAAAATGTTCACTTATATCCTAATAAATGTTAATCTGTTTTGTTCACTACTTGGAAAACTGTGCTACCTTCGTTCTTCGCTTGAAAAGACATAACGTCAGTTAATACTTCCGGAAGCGCTACGTATAGTCACGTTCGCTGAGGGATGATGGCACATATCAGTGGAGATGAGTTTGGCACAGCACCAGCTCGTTTCTTTTCTTTCGGCAAGCAACAAGACTGTTTCATATCATTCGTATCAGTCAGTTTCCACCCGTTGTTTTCATTTACCCTCTCCAGCAACTGTGCAACTGATGGAGAACAGACTGACACCGCGCCGAACGCCACAGCACTGACACGCCCCATCATCCGCGGCGAACGAGCAGGTAACTATAAGGAACAGTTATGATTTGCTTTGTGTTCGTACTTGACTCATTTAATTTACAGGACTTCAAAAATGTCTTGTATCGACGAAAAGCTGGGAATAGTCTCGTTGCGGTGATTTCTGGATTACTCAAAAAAAATTATGGAGATTACATAAGCACCTGTCGCCTCACTGGACGAGTTTTCCGGACCTGCTCGTGTATGCCAGCAAAAGCAATATACTGCCGCCTCTGACTTAGTGTTGGTTTCTTCTCGTCATCCATTGCTAATTTCGCGTCACCCAATGGTAACACCATCTAACAGTGGAACAGTGGAAAGAAACGAAAAACATGGGGTAAAACTGAACTGAGACAGAAGTTCCCCTTGAGTTTTGGTGGGCGCTGCAGCTAGGGACAACGCAGAAACGCCATTTCTGAAGGCCATAGCGCCTTCGTCACTTACTGGGAAGCCGCGAAAGTGGTATTATCGCAGAGACTGGAGCCCAAACTACGTGTACAACAAAGGACACCGAGGAATTACTTGAGCGCAAGACCGTATTTAATGCAAGAGTTCACAACATACCGTAAGACTTGTTAATTCTTGGCAATATTGCCACTTATACGAGAAAACCAGTCGGCTCGCCGGCTGACGCCGGCGTCTCTCACATATTTCTAGACTCAACTGATATCCGCCTTTTGTTCTGTACTCCACTTTTTTCCGGTGTCTGAAGTACTCTTGAGCTATTTTACAGATTCTTCGTCTGACTCCGCCCACCTCGGAGCAGGCCCCGCCCACAATGTTTGTGCCCCACAATCTTCACCGGCGACCCTCTGCTGACCTCAATCCACGTTTTCTTCCGGTCTTTGAAGTGCTCTGGGACAGTGTTGAAGAATTTTCGCCCGGCCCCGCCCACCCCGGGCTGGCCGCGCCCACAATACGTATGCCCCACATTTCTCAATCGGCAACCCTCTGCTGACCTTAATCCACGTTTTCCTCCGGTCTTTGAAGTGCTCTGGGACAGTGTTAAAGAATGTTCGCCTGGCTCCGCCCACCATAT